TGGGATGATCTGGAATAATCTCCTTTTACACCAAGTGGTCAGTCATTGACTCCATGGTGGCTTTGAAGGAGCAGGGCAGGAGGATCTACAACCACTGATGAACTATGCAGAAATCCATCCCACAGCTCAGAGACTTGAGTCCACCTATCCTCCCTTGAAACCGGGAGCAGAAAAATGARGCAGTGGCAGGGCTAGAAGAAACTGACCAAACTGGTCCTGACTGAGTCAGTGGCCAAGTCGACATCTCCTTTTCCTGATCTCTGAAAGCAAGACTGCTATTTCCCTATCTGACTGTAGAGGACATCCAAATGTAYTTGATTTTCAAAGGAATCAACTGCTTTTTGGAAAGGGYATGTCCAAGAATAGGTAGTAAATGTAACTCCTTTACGAAAATAATTCATTAATTGCAAATTACCTTATTAACCTTTTTTAATCAACAGCCCAAAGCAAGATTGCAAGATTGGGCTCACACTGTACAGAAGGATTATGGCAATTSAAAATATGCACACGAAGACTCAATCCTAGACTAAATGCATTCATGGGGTACATGGCTGCTACATTTAAAAAAAAAAAAATCACATCAAATGCACACACGACCACATTTATATCCATGCAAGACAGATGCAATGTGCCTATGCTTACCCCTGCAAATGAAAAACAGCACCTCTCTTTCAAACACCGAAAATCTCCTAGGGATAACCTTTCACAAATAAACAACCTGCTCTGCTCGGAGAGGGATTTTATAAAGAACAGAGATTACAATGGGCTTAATCATGATTAAACACTGATCTGGCTCAATCTACTCAAAAGCAGACAAAAGATAAATAAAAACCTCGAGCAGATGCATTTCATACTGGAAATTCTGGAACCTCAATTGACGTCATACTTTTTATGTTCTGATAATATCTGGAGGAAACAGTACACTGCATCAAGAAAACAAAAGCAAATTTTTAGTTAAAATTCTCCATGTGCTGTGTAGAAAGAAGGTGGCTACAGCAGGGAACACACAGAGCAGCTCAGCACTTTACAAACCTGTTTTTGACTGCAGCTGAAATTGCACCAGCAGAGCAACGCCTCTGGAAAGAAACAAGCACTCCCTTCTGCCCTCATCTCCTGCATTTTGCCCTGTAAAATTGTGCAACAGTAGTCACTGAATTTCCCCTCAAACCAAAGCCACTTCTGATCACTGGCAGTCATGTTAAATTTCTTTTAGTTAAATAATGTCACCTCCTCATTATCACCCCAGTTGTGCTTCACTGGTTCCTCGCRTACAGTGTGAAAATTCTGTGTGATGGGAACGGGCTGAATTTAGCAAATATCTCCCAAATACAGACATCTGGTCTTTCCTACGGGTGAGGAAATCCAGGAATCTGATTCCACATCATAGGAGACAACTCTAGCCATTAGTACTGTAGAGGGAGATGGGAAAAGTAAAAAAAAAAAAAGAGATTCTAGAGATTGTTTGCTTATAGTGCTATGCTTTCCATCTAATACAACAAGGTAAATATATTTTCTTTGAGGAAAGAGAAATAGCTCTTTATATGGGGTGGAGAGGAATCTACCTGGAGGAGAAGGCTGATCAGAGTTTTCTTATGATCAGAATTTCTCCTGCAGAAATTCCCAATGGATGACCAAGTAAGATTAGGCCAGCAGACAGAAGAGATCCCTTCCTTTACTTAGAAGGTACATCACTGCCTGTTCTGGTGGCCAGAGAATGCACTCTGTGCYTAAGAGACACCAGGTGAAAGACTGATTGTGACTGATTTGTGACCTTCAAAACTTCTCCAGTGAAGGTGAAAATCCCCACACAGACAGTGTGAGCCTACTGATAATTACTTTGTTCTTTTCACTTTCTTTTCACTGACCTCTTGGAYGCAGCTCAGGCAGACCTCAGTAGTGAAACTTACGTTATTTACAAGGACTTTTCAAGCTGCAAGTTATCATCACCTTCAAGAACATCATCTCTAAACAAAATCAAAATTCTCACCCCAGTTCCTATGGTCCTTCAGCCCAGCCAGTGTCTCGCATCTGTCTAAATAGATATGTTCCAACTTCATGCAGAATAACAATCACTTTGCAGATGAATTCCACACTTAACAAACTGCAGAGCAGAATCACATGACATGCATTTCCTAGATGAGAAGTCAACAAATTTCTCTGTCTATGGAGTCAAGTGGAGAGTCCTTTGGCATCTGAAGTAACAGCAGATGCATTTATTTATTAATAAAGAAACAGGAAAATAATGGGTTACTGTTGCTTSTTCATAAAGCAGGCTTACCTTATAAAAAGCTATCAAGGGATTACTAAATTCTACAAATTATTTAACTTTCTTCTATAACCCATCCCTGAAGGAGAAATGAGCTCAAGAGCCCCTCTAAAGGCCTGAAAGATGCAGGAGGAAATACTTAGAATGCAAGTAATATTTTTATTTTTATTGTAAGAAGGATGAATCTTCCTGCACAACTTACTGGCATCAAGCACCAATGAGAACAATTACTTTGGTGTACATGCTTGCCTATGGAAAAGGACTATGAATTCAAAAGCTAAAACAGTTGCCAAYGTGAAATGTCACCTGGCTAGGCAGTTCAACCTAATTATTTACACAGATTTATTTTTAAACTACAAAAACAGCATGTTCCTCGGGAGAATTATTTTTTCCCCTTCCCCAAATAAACACAACTAACATTTGCCAAGTAGAATTCTTCTTCTGCAATTAAGGACTTGCCAAAATTAGATGATGTAAAGTATTCAAAAACACACTGGCGCAAGAACGTCGCTGGGAGTGTCTCCCAGAGCTGTGCTCCTGCAAGAGGAAGAGATGTTTCATACAGGGCTMGGCACCAACAAGCCTGCGTGCCTGTGATACTTCTTTCTAAAGCCTGAGTGGCCTTGAACCCTTGTGGGGACGAGGCTGGCACGACTGGAAGCCCTCCCATGGCACCTCGCCATCTGTGCTCTTCACTGCCCTCGGCAAATGCCAGCAGCACTTCTGAAGGGAAGGCATGCGAGTAACGCAATCCCACAGCAGCAGGCGAGCTCAGCAAGGGGGCGGGGGAAGCAAACACATCGATTTGAAGGCTCAAGGTAGGACAAAATACAGGTAAGCAMGGCCTTGGTTTCAAGCTGCCTGTAAGACCTCTCACGTGGAGCTGTGCTGGAATGTGTCTGACAGACTGTGGCCAAAACAAACACAAACAGCCCACCTCTGACCCAGAATTTTCTCCAGGTAAAGATTCTTGTTCTTACGTGACCTGGATCACTGAGATAAACCATGATTTTCCCATTCCTCCTAAAGGCAGAAAGCATGGTGCTGGGGTTCAGCTCCACAAGCAGCACCCCTGTCTGTGTCTTTRCAGGAGCCYRTGGCACCCCAGAAATACAAACCAGYTCATAAGCAGCATCCGAGGGTCAGTCAAGCTTGTCCTGATCCAGGATGGGCTGTAATTAAACCCTGCCAGTCACGCCTTCGCTCTTGGCAACCCCAGGCACAAATGCTGCCAAGTGTGGTAGATCTTCAGCTTAAAGGGCCATTTTGGCCCAATTCACCAAAACACCGGGGTTTAGGAAACTAAACAAAGAGAGTCTTTGCATGACACAAAGCTTCTCACAGTGTGTTCAGTGTATTTTCAATAGCCAAGGTGGAGAAACATTTCAAGACGCTTAAGTATGTAAGATAGAATGGCACTAAATCCTTTTKCAGAAAGCAAGACTCCAACAGTTCAAGCACATTCTCCCAGCCTGCTCCAASAGCCTTCATGTGCTCACCTCACAGTCTGCCTGTGCTTTTCATGGTCATGGTAATTTTATGACAATGTCTTGAGACCCTGGTTCTCAAGAAATTCAATACACATGCACTTAATTCCAGTGGGGTTTGATTTCATGGAGCTAATCTGCAACCCCTAAGTCTGTCCAGGACAAGGCTGYTCAGCAGGGGGCTTCTGCTCAYTCTGGGATTCCATGTCAAAAATAGRTAAAAACATTTTCAAAGCTGGGCATCAAATTTTAGAAACAAGAAAGTTTCCGAAGTTCAAAACCATCTATAACAGACTGGAATGTGTCCTACAGGGAAAACCATTTTAGGTTATCATGTCCATAGCTACTTTAAAGGAAACTTTCCCTCAAAAATCAGAAAAACCCATCTTAGAATAAATATTAAAATATTATAATTTAATAATGTTCTGTATTCCTGCAGTATGATGCTGATAAATAATGATTTAAGGACACAAAACTCGGCATGGTGTTCTCAAAACCTGACTCAGCAAGCAGGCTGGACACGGGATTTTGTTCTAGTCTGTGCATTTCTTTTCCCTCCTGTACTTAAAAAATAAAGATAGCAAATTTCTTTGAACTTACATAATTCAAGYCTGTTATTTTCCATAGGGCTAAACTGGCCTTTTAAATTCTTTAAGCCTGGCACTATATGAAAGCAGGTATCAAATATTCAGAGAGCTCAATTTAGAAAGATCATTTTTCTGAGGCTGAGCCTTTCTGAAGAGCTTCCTGCAGCACTCCAGACACTGTCCCAAACAACCACTCCCCAGGCTGAGGTCACTTGCCCTTGTCAGGCAGGGATACCTTCCACTAGACAAGGTGGCTCAGAGCTCCATCCARCCTTGGACACTCTCAGGAATGAGGCATCCTTCTCACCCTTACAATAAAGCATTTCTTTCATATATCTGACCTAAACCTGCCCTCCAGGGTACTGCTATGCTTTCAATACCCTTGGCTGAAGAGCAACACTGGGTTTTATTATTTATTGCTTATTGTTAAGCATTGCTTACCCCAAACTTGCTGTAAAATAAAAAAAAAAATCCTTAAAATCAAAAGCACATGGTCAGCTTAGACAAAACATCGTCCCTCTGCCTTCATGCACCATGTAGATACGAAGTTTCCTATTTTATGCTGCATGATTTTCCATGAAGTTAGGGAGCACAAGTAACACAGAGGAGTTTGAGAGCTTAAATGTGTTACAATAGTTGCATCAGATGTATTTTTAATACCTTTTCCAGTGCTTCTCTGTCAGCCAGCTCCTGCACAGCCAAAAGCTTGATACTGTAAGAAAAAACAGAGAAAAAGAGAATTAATCTATCCATTGCAAGCATTACAGAAATCCAAGCAGCAGAACTGAGGCTCCCTTTTTATCTTCTCTCTTGACAAAAGGAATACAAGAAATGCTCAGGATAAAACAAACCAAAGCAAGAGAGACAGTGCCACTTTGTTTGCCTTGAATTAGCCATCACAAGCAGATTTTTTGGTTTCCGAATTACAGGCGTATCTGAACTCTCCTTACAGAGAAACTGCATTCATCATTGCTTTTGTAATACCCAATTTAACACCAAAAGATCTTCTSAATGACAAACACAGAAAAGCATTCTAGACATTTCTGTCAGTTGTAGTCAACTTTGTTATTCAGTGCCAACAAGTTTCTTTGAGTCCCAAAACAGCCATTCCCAGGGATTTATGATATTATATATGAGRTGCAGTAATTAAGACAACCCAGCTCAAGAAATTTGAGGGAGAGATGAAGGAAATGTGGACCACTGTTTAAAAGCAGGGTTTAAAAGCATAGTTACTATTCTTCTAATGCCCTTTGCTAATCAGTCCGAAATTTCTTTACCTACTGAATCTTTTCTAAGGTTACCTCTAGGGGCTAAATCCTGCACACTGAATTTCATTCACTTCAACGAGGTTATGAGTCACTCAAGCAGGATTCTGCCCTGTTAGACGGGCAAAATCACAGCTAAATCAGAGTATATGTGAGAACCTTATACAACATCTAATCGTTCATGATCAGTTTAATGAGTTATTAGAGGTRTCCATCCTCCTTCAACTTCAGTTACTTGCCACCAGTCAGGCTCACAGAAAGCTGGAAGGCTTTTTACCCCTGGAATAGACCCGCACTGCAGCTCCACATGCTCACTTTCCTTACTCAGTCTTAAACCCAGTCACCTAATATTATCCTTGGACTCCAAAGGATAATTTCCTTTACCCAGGGATACAAAAACATTTGCATGGCAATAGGAGAAYCAAATGATGCATACAAATATTGTTTAAATTACTCTCACCACCCYGTAGATAGACACATAAAAAGCCAGTTTGGTTAAAAGCTCATATTCAAGAAGGTGTGAAGAGTCAACATAGAAGTCTGCCAAAGGATATAACACAAAAAGTTTTGTCAGCCTTTTAAAACCTCAGAGCAATATTGCATAATTCTTGAACATCCACTGGCACCTTATATGTTAATCATGTACATCCATCCTGCAACAGCAGCTGGCAAAGCGCAGTTTTAGTCYTGTCCTACTACTTTCCACTGCAGATATTCACAGCCTAATCCCTAAACACAAATGTGCTTTCACTTTAATGGACTTCCAGCTTTCAGTGTCTTCAAGGCATCATAAAAAGCCTATATCCAATGAATTATAAACTAGCCACAGACAATACATTTCTAGTCTGTGGAGACTATTACTATTAAGACAGAGAGGGTGGATGTGGTTCAGAAAARACTGGGATAACCAGAAAAATGAAAAAGATATTCCATTAAAGCCCAGCGACTGTGGTAGCAGGGGTCAAGTGATTTGGTGTTACTGTTTGGTGAACACACTAGGCTGCACACACGCATTCACATGAACTGGAAGGCAACTAGGGAAAGTGCAAACCCAATACAAGGAATTTTTAAACATCATTTTCCTCRTAATTCAGTCAGCATGCAAAACAAAGATGGGATGGGCAGCAAGCAAAGGCAGCTCCATTTAAAAAAAACCACTGCAGCACTTTGTCCAGCTCAGAAGGAGCCTCAGCTGATGCACCTTGGAGAACAAAGTCCAACAACCTGGGCAGTATCCATGCAGTCACAATCAAGACCTGTCTCTTGATTCAGGAGTCACCTCTTCATTTTGGATGACCCACATCTGTTGCAGTGCACTTGAGAAAAACACAGCACGGGTGAGAGGGAGTTAGGCTAGCACACACATGAATGCATCTCACATCGAGCTGGGCTGCTGCAAAGATGGCTTCAAGTCTATGTGTATGTGGCTTGTGCTATGCAAATTACTTTTGTCTTTTTCCTATTGAAGCTAGAGACTTTTTGATTACTTAATCAAATCAATCAAGGCTGCAGATGCTTCTAACAATTGACTGACTTATTTCTAGAACATTATTTGTGAGTGATCTGACATTCAACAGCTACAGAAGAAAGATGCAGACTGTCCCAAATGCAAGTATCATTTTCATTAAAGATCATGATCTCACTGTAAAAACCTGCCTTCCTTCCCATTTTCACCAGAAAAGCCCCACAAGAACTTTTTCAACTGATACAGAGTCACACCAAAGCAAGTAACAAAGCAGGGAGAAGGAATCWTTTTACTTTATTTCATTATTTTAT